AAAAGGAGAATGTAGGTATAATGCGGTCTCTCTATCAGGTCTTAACCCCTGCCGCAAGGATTCTCCTCTATATCCATAATACTCAAAAAGCAGGAAAAGATTTTCATCCCCTGCGTAAATATGTCTATCTCTCGGAAGCGGTATAATAATACTTCCACCAGATTCTAACAGGATCCTAGGGAGCAACGGCATGCCACTTTATGGTGACTCCCATAACTTTCAAGATAGCGATTCTGTTTCCCATATACGTAGATATACATAGACATTTCCTTCTGGTCTCTTGGAACGTTTTTTCGAGAGCTCACTCGAGCTCAATGGCGACGAGTATAGAGGGCGAACGAGAATGGTTGGATGGTTTTAGGCTCTTTTCCATGGTGCTTCTGGCATTGGTGTTGGCAGTCCCTTGTTGTTTGGTGATTTTAGTGATTGTGTTCGTCCTTCAGAGAGCACGCCATGTCGGTCCATGTCTTTTTTCTACGAGAACACTTAATCTTGCGCGTTGCGCGTTTCTATCACGATGTTCTCGAAGAAGCCCGAAAGCACGAGCTGGTGTTCTCTCACGATAACTTGGTGTTCTCAAAAACGGGGACAAGAGTGCTCCTAGCGCGGTCGGCCCAGACGTCGACGAGGAATATTCCTCGCTTTTCTAAAACGAAACAGTCAGATACGCTCGCTTTCCTCCGTAAGGAATTTTTTCACCTCTGAGTTGGTCACGACCCTAAGAGAACCATGCTACTTTTATGTACGAAGGCCTGGAAGTTTCTTAGCTTTACAAGGAAAGCCACGAAATTTCAGCTTCGGTTGAAACTTTGCCCGCGAAAGAACTCCTTCCTTTATATCAAATTTTTCTGCAAGAAGCGCTCGATATTACGATTTCAATGGTAGTTACTTCTTGCCTGTGACGGTATTTCAATTAAGTGCCAATTCGCGTCAAAGGAAAGGCTAACGAATCTGATGACAATAACGGGTTAATGTCGGCAGCGATATACATCTACCTTTTGATTGGCCGAATATCAACGCTCTTTTGAATTTCTTTGAGAAAGTACCTCAGTGCATTGTTAATACTTGAAGAGAACTTTCATGAATGTCCCATGATTCTCGACGTTACTCGAGGAAAGACGAATGACCCTGCAAGACGGGTAGATGAATTAGGGAAAGTTAGCTGATTCTGGTTGACAGCTTAACCCCTTGCTGGGATTTCTTTTTCGATATCAGGTCAAAACCCATGAGTATCCGCCCTAAGAGAGCCTTCATTTCCGGCATACTCGGACCAGTCCGGCGAAGACGAATGAGGCCTAAACGAACGTCTGGTCAAAACATTTGACCTCGGTCATATGCCATCTTACGAACTCCACGTTACTAACGTTCCGATCTAAAAATTCTTCTTCGTCACAGAATACACTCGCAATCTTCTTCATCTACCACTCTTCATATCCTGACTGAACGTTCTCTGTCACCCTGTGGAATAATATCTGCCACATTCTGGAAGATGTCTATACTGTCTCAGAGATAGGACATTTCGATTTTCCCCGTATGCCTTTTTGAGTGACGTTTTTTAAAATCGTTTGGTATTCCCATTTTCTCCTTCGACAGTCCACTGTTTGCTTTTGAACCACCCCCCACTTCCAACGCTGTTCTAATGTCTAACGTCCTTGCCAGAGAAATGCGCAGTCTGCTGCAATTTACGTAGTATTGACCTCTCATACACTTACCATTACTCTGTTAGAACGGTGTCGCCTTTCTCGCTGCTTGCCGAGTCACAAGATAGATAGATATCCATCTGGTTAGATAAATAGATATAGATAGATGGATCTCTCATGTAACGCACGCCCTTCTTCGTATCGGTGACTCCAGCACGTCCAGTGACATAAAAGCATTTGACATCATACTAAGGTTTTTTCATCTCCTTTTTTTTGTACATCATAAAATTCGCTATTTTTATCCAGTCATAATCCAAACCCCTATAACGAGATTGTAATCGAAATCCAATACTGTCAAATATATGTATAGCATGTGAATCAACAAAATAATTTACACACACATCACGCACTGTACGGTACAAAATAAAAATCAAATTAAATTTGCCTTGAAGCATAATCTCCTGGACCGTGAGATCGCATTTTATGCCTTTGTCATCCCTAAGAAAAAATAATTTTTTGCTTCTGCCGTATCGAAATCTTAAGTTCCATAAGTTCACAACTAACGTGTGTGAACACCTAGCATTTCAACTATTAGCATCTCACAAATAGACTTCATATTTACTTGCATCCGTCATAGCTGCACAGTTCTTGATAAGTTTTAACAATAGTTTAATTGACTTATCACTTAAAATCACGTTTTTAAAGAATGAGATGCCAACTTCTCGTACCGCTTGTTAGCATCTCATCGAATTTCACATATATGAGGATAGAAGAGGAAAACCCTGCACAGTTTTATCCCCTAGGAAAATTATCTCAATAGTTCTAACGAATAAACCACGTGCGAAACAGTTTTATCATATTTATCAGCATCTCAGCTATACTGTAGTGAGATGCTGACATTTAGGGGTGAGTTCCGGACTCCCTCGCGGGTGGAATGCACAGTTCTAGTCGATTCTAGCCGACCGATATCGTTGTACTCGTGCCAATACATATTTTTAATAATTATTTATAGATGACGAGAAACCGAAACTCTTTTCGAGGGTATGCCGGACGAATTTTAGGTCGAAAGTAAACTTCGATATCCTTCAAACAGCACATAATATTTACACTTTATTTTTAATTTAACATTATTTAAATGAAACTTGGAAAATTCTTGACGATTAGTTCTCCAAAAATTATAATTTTTTGTTAGGCTACAAAGACGTTTTATAACATTTAGAATCGATTGAGCGATACCATTTGGAGCAAGAAAAAATAATCACCTAAAAATTATTATGGCAACTGATATAAGTAAAATAAATACCTGTTATCTGTTTTCGGTAATGTATTATCTTAAAAATGTTACATTATCATAATTATGTGATGACAAAAAAACAATTTTCCGTAAAATATATAACATATGACAAAAAAGAACCTCAGGAACCAGTCAAAATCTAAGGCAAGAATTGCAATTGAAGTTCCTGAGGGTCAAATGAGTCCTAATCTCGGTTCTTATTAAAACCTCAAACCTGCGAAACGGGACATAAGTGCAGTTTCGAGGTTCAAATGAGTTCTGTTTTACTTATTTTTTTCCGATCTAATAAATCTCATATAAGACTGGAAATCCTCGATACATTTTTGAGGCTTAAATGAGTTCAATACCGACTCGAGTACCATATCACAGAAATAACATGAACGCAACAACCGACAACTTTGTTTCAACTTTACAATGACAAAACCGTGATGCGATTGCTCCTGTATTTAAATACTGGATCCATCTATTGTATATTTTTGATGATGAATGATGACTCTGAATAAGCACTCGGGTTATACGTTGTATTCTGGCTGAATAGACAGTTTATAAAGACCTTTATCAGTTACATGTTTACCTGTGTTGAATTGAGACTCTTTTACGTTGTACATTTTTATACTTACTAGCTTAATCCTTCCAATGTAAATAATATAGAATTCTGCTAATGAATTATTGTTCATGCCATATCACTCGCTTTGTTGACCATTCTTCGTTCATTAAATCATTACTCTTCCTCGCAAAAGAAAGGTTCCTGCGTTGAATGTTGGCGTTGGTTTTTTTTTCGAAAGTGTATCATTTTTACAATAAGCTTCAATACTTTTAAAACTTCCACGCTATCTCTGAATTCCTTGTCTACTATAATTATATTATCGTTCTTTAATTAGTTTCATAGTAATTCGACATCATACATCACACCAGACGCGACGTTGAACGCATCGTTTATTCTTGCCATTCGCCAAATATGAACCTAACATTTCTAGATTGTAACCTTTTGTTTATTAACTCTTAACATTAGCTTCATCAGTAGTCGCCGTTTATATACGGTAAAAGTTCTTCTTTGAAATCGATCATTGGAACTCTTTTCAATATACACAATTACACATACGTTCCATCAACGACAACAATAGCTTCTTTCTCATCTGGCGAATAAAGAGTTTTTGCAAAAGGGCAAGTGTGTCATTAAATGAATGTTAATCGAGTGATGTGTCCTAGGCCAGGATAGTTCGGTACAAAGTCACTCATTATAGGGCTTTACTGGCAGAATGTACGCTTCTTTTGATAACGTCATTATGTAATATAAATAATGTTAAGAGAATCTCATAGAATAAATCAGTGCGTAATTTTGTCACAAATTGCTAAATAAGTTCTACCACTACGCTGAGACCTAGATTGATTTTTTCTTTAGTTATTCCTGTTCACCGCTAGGATTCAACGTTTGATAATTTTTGAGGAGTTATATTGCGAAATCCTTCCAGCAATTGTTTAGATCTGTTCGGTTGAGCAAAGCCGAACCAGCAACTTTGGTTATTAAATCCTTATATTATTTTTTTCGTAAACCTTCCCCATGAATGATAAGGGCAGCATCTCATTCCGTTTTGAATTATAAATCCATAATGTGCATAAAACTTACATCGAGCTTTAAGTGCTATTCGTTTTAATGAAGTCACTTCCTTATTACAAATCATACAATTGAATAGGTATTACCTGCACGACCAATACCAGTAGCAATGTTTTTCGGTAATTTTGCACGCGTAGAAATATCGAAGGTTGTCGATTGTTTTATATTTTTCCCGATATGCGAAGATGAAGCTGTAAAATTTTCATTGATCTAGTACTTAGTAGCATCGCGTGAGTTCATGTTCATATGTTTTCCATTTGTCTCAATATAAAATTGTAAACAAATCTTGTCTGCTAATTAAACGTTAAATATTCATATATCCTTGGATTTTTTATCGGTTTCAGATTAATCAAGTGATTTCAATAGCCACAATACGATTTGCGCGTTGTCGAAATTCTACCGAACTTGAATCAAAAGAAAACTAAGATATACAATAAAGAAAAAATTACTGTTAGATGTTGTATATTATTTTTATGCGTCGAAATTATACTTTGCCACTTACACTATTATTCAGATATACTGTTCGCTTTTCTTCGCTAACGTCGTGTTTACAAATTCATCGAAAGCTAAGTCAAAGTCAAAGAGAAATCGTTAATACATTTAGTCCTCGCAATAAACTCGCTCGCATTGATAATTATTTTCCATGTTTTTATTCCACTTCCGTAGAACAGTATTTTAGGTTGACGCTGCAAAGCAACAGAGAATTTGCTAGATTTCACACAAATGTTCCTGCGGAGTCGTATAAATTTTAACTAGATGTAGCGGTAAACGATCGATCACAATTGCAAAACTTTGGTTCGTAGCAGCGCGCAGGTGTCATCAAGGCCCCAAGTACTAGCTAACCTGAAACAATCACGTCTACTGTCCTGTCCGCTTTGTCCCGTTAGTACAGTTTTTATTCTTTTTTCCCAGAAATCACAGAAATTTTTACCTTGAAGCAGGCAAACTTTACTACCACATAGCAGTAAATTTCGCTTCATGTTTTTTACTATATTCTGCAGGTTAAAAATTAATAAAACTACCTAGTTTGCCGTTACATCCCAGTGTTATTAGGTTCGTGGGTATTTTGACCACGCATTCCACAGCAATATTTACTTGAAAATTGTCTTCATGCAAGTATACTTTTGTGTATAAATAGGTCAAGCACGTTACTTTCCGTTTTCAATGAAAATCTAATAACGTTAGTGAGTGACTAACATGAGCAAATTGCTATGTAAACCCTATCTATATTATAAATTATTAAGTAGAAATTTGATTTTCCTAATGAGCGCATCGTCGTTTAAATTCGCTTTTCTTTGCTGTTTTTTATAACATCATAATTAATAATATGTCAAGCACAAATAACCGTACGGCTATGCGCTCTGTGTTAAAAATATCACTGAAGGTAGAAAGAAGCAATTAGGTATTCGCTTATTTTCGCCTTTTTTATAAAGAAGGGGAAAGCGGGGGAATTGCACTCACCTAAAGGAGGTCTAGAATTATTAAGCGAATGTTCATCCAACTTATTAATGTAATATATACAAATTTCTGGCTTAAACTCTCGGGTGTAAGCATAAAGTAAACTTACTTTCGGTATAATTTATTAAAATATTTAATTCTTGTGATTTCGAGAAGTTCACCCGTTCTCCCCTAAGGAAATCGATTTCAACTTCTCGAATTTTTAGAATAAAATAAAACTGTTGATAAATCTTGAAACTATAATTTCCTAAACGTATATCTGTAAAAAACGTTGTGTGCGAATGTTGACAGTATAACAATACTTAGTTCGGCAAAATAGAATTTATAAGCTCTTTATCATTTCTTACATTATCGTGGCTGGTGGCTCTTTATATTGTAATATAACACTTATTTAATTAACCATTAATTATAAAACACTATGACAGAGAAGACACTACTAACAATGAGAGCTTTGAACCGTTCGAGCGATAATGCACAATCGATGATAGGCGGATATAAAATAAAAGGAGTACAATATAGATAAATGCCGTTTAAAACAAATTACCACATTTCGCCAACGCAAACACACTATATCTAAGAGTATACTAACATGGAGAATCGTGGTGACAACTCTTGTATGTACGTGATCGTGATAAGCCAGCTGTAGCCAGGAAGCTTCCAATATGTAGGCACCTCGTGCCCTTCAGTGGGATGTCTTCTAGCGAGCTCCAATCCGCCAAAAGAATCATGCGTTTAACCACTGGATAATGGTAAATACAATTCTAATAGAGTAACGTCCTATTAAGCACTTCTATATTATTTCCGATAAATACCTGTTGTTTCCGTATTCGATGCCTACAGGCAAATGGGAAGAGCTAGATCCTTCCCTCTGTGAAGCTAGTAAAATTTGTAATAAGTGGGAGGGCACGAGGGTGCTGGCATCTAGAATCAATTCGGGGCGCAAATACAGTTGTCGCGTTACAATATTTTTCATAAAATTGTACACGCCGGAAATTTTCACGAACTGAATATATTATTAGTGACATTTATAAAATAGCTTGATTATTACAGCAGTAATTCTCATCAATTGTTATTTGATTCGTTGAGGCAACCACACCCGTGGCAGCACTCGATATACATACATCGTATATTATATAGGTTATTTAAAGTCTCGCCAGGAAAATTGTACTGTATAATATTTTTAATATAGACACATACGTGATAGGTGAATAAGCGAGTATGCGGTAACATCATCATCAGAACTGAAGAACGCTGAATGAAATGCTTCATATCGGAATCATCATTATCATCCCACGTCATCCCGGTTTATAAATATCGAGTCTACTAGCAAATCTACGAGACTGATCAACCAATCGAAGTGGAGCGTCATTTTCAGGACCCTAATGATTTCACGGCTCCGTCTGTACTCTGCAGATACATGAGAAGAATCGACGTATCGATTATCAGAAGCTCGTCGAGCCGTGTAGCGTGGTGCACGCTAATAAGCCTCGTTCTGCAAAGAGCAGCGAATTAAAAAAGCATAGAAAGGACGATGGTACCGCAAAATCGCACAGTCTGTGGAGTCAGGACACCAGGACGTTGGAGTGAAACAAAGTAGATAGACGGTGGTATCGGTATTGGGTCCCGTTTATTTTTTCGTATTTTCGCAAGGGAAATTACTAGCAGCTGGTAGGGAGAGATACTTAAGTACCTGTACCAGCAAGAAATTTATAACTGAAATAAAACGTGCGTAGAAATAAAATTTATGAAACGGGTTAAGCGTAAAAAGTACGAAAATGATTTCTTTATCAAATAAATTGCTCGGCACACGCAGACAAAAATTATTGTCGCAGCAATATACTAATATTCAATCGACACTGTTGAATTACTTGTAAAGAAAAAAAAAAGGAAGGAATAGAAAATGTAACTGATCGTTGCGATGCATGTAAGTCAACATTGGCACATATTCGTACAATTGCTTGCAACAACAGTAATTCTTAACTTTCTACTGAATTTAAAATTTAACGCTTTTTAAAGTAAGTATTACATAAATCTACGGTCGATTAGGAGTAATGTAAATTTACATTATTTAATGAAGTGTTTATGGATAAGACATTTTATTATACTATTAGACCAAATGTGTGGAAATGAAACAATCAAGTTCATCATCACTTCATCAGTCAATTTAAAGCGCTATAATATTCAATTCTGATACGTGTTTTACCCGTGTTACTCGAATAAATCGTTAAATTTCAATTATATTTTTGAAGAAATTCGGTAAAACGTACTATTTTTATATGTATATACAAATATTGACAACTACAATTCTTAGCGAAAGCAAGATTTACAAATCACATATCGCATTCCTCATTTCGAACATCCCGATGATCACAAATTCAAATCCCCCTATTGGCATCATAAATAGTGTAACCACCAGCTGTGAAGTCCCACGCACATACCTATGTTCTTTAAATTTTGTTTTAATTACAATATTATGGCAGTCGCATGTTTAATGTATTTTAATTAAAGTAATTATTACTTTAATGTTTGCAGAACATTGTTTTCCATGCAAAAGTATTAATGACATTTACCAGTGTAATAACAACAATCATATGTCAATCTCTTCTAATATTAGAGAGGTAAATTTCACTATTATATTTGTGTAAATTTAACCATGCCACGTAATATAATACCTAATACTAGAATCAACGAAGAAATTTTACTCTACTGTAGCCGTAGTCGTTACTGCACAAAATGCTGTTTCTATGTTTGCCAAAGGTTGTAGTAACAGACATTGCAATTTTTCTTGCAGTGACGAATTATTTTTTTCCAATTCATCGGAAAAGAATTTCAGACGAAATATTTGATGAACAATTTCGATAATGTTCTCTCTTTCAATTTAAAGAATACTATAAATTCCCAAAATTTGGAAAAAAAAGAGTTGCACTTTGTTACTTAAGCCCCTGCTAAGTAAGTAAGTATATATATATATTATCACGTCATTAGCCTCACAAGGCTAGAATCGGTTGACTGTCATGTTTAACATGCGGAACGCAGTGCCGTCCCTTAAAGTCGCATTAACTGAAATAACCGGCCAAGAACTCCAGGGTCTCGAATATATAATGTAATAATATTAGACTAATTCCTATCGTAAAATAATTTCATGCGACACATCAAGACACCATTATGACGAGAAAGACTCTGTACCTGCAGCGAGAACAGCACCTTCAGTCTCGCCCGAGGGAGGCTGCCTACGGTCAAGCCAGAGAGCGTGGAGGAACGCCACTGCCAGCAGAGACCACCATCCCGCTACGGACACCTTCGATAAAGTAAGGAGCAGACCCGACGAGAATATCGCCATGGACAACCTATCGTTACTCAGTTCCGGTACCGATGCTTAGCTAACGGCATCCGTACTGAAGAGGGAGCTACCCTAGGCAGAGGAGAAAGGACCCTCCGCCATTTCGACGTCCCCTTTACGCAGGACCGGACGAAAATATCCACCCGACATCACCTGGACATCCAGGAGTGACGGTAGCAGCCCGTTCTGATTATTACTGCGTTCCAACTCTCGCGATAAGCCGACGTACGCCAATGTATCGTGCGTAGACTTCAGTGGAACCCCGAATTCGCAGACCATCCATCCAAGTATCACAACTGAACGATTAAACGGAGACTCGCGTGAATATTTGATCTCGTAAAGATCCTCTCGCATCGGTTTGCGATATCATAATTCTGTATCGTTAAAGTATCTTTTATAATTAATCCATTGGTATGTTTCGTATATTTCGCGCGTAAGCCACGGATTGGCAGAAAACTTCCGCGTAGACGATTGGCCGAGCGAGCCGTACCAGCTCTCCCGTGAGGGAGCTAGCCTCGACCGGTAGGAAGAAGAACCCTCAAAATTCATTTGTTTTACGTTAGCCGTCTTGGCCGGTCTCGCTAAAGTAATTATCTCGCATGGGTTTCGAAACGTAACGCTTAGGTAAGTACTTTTGTCTAAAAGGCAAAATCTTTTCTATCTTGGCTTCCGTGCATGGGCACGTAAAGATCGGTTTCGTTTCATTCCTCCGAGTTTCGACCTAGGAGATGTTCGCGTTTCGCCAGCCAGGAAAAGATTCCGTGCCTTCCGTTATTAATTTCTGTATTTTCGAAATTTATTATTGAGTTTAGACTAATGCACATTCTCTGGCGTCAGTCTTCTGCCCGGCTGAATGATGGTGCACAATCGAGATTTGCTTTGGCGTAGTTGACAATGATAGTTTACATAAATATAAAATATAATACAAATTATAACCCCTTCGCAGTGTAACAAAAACTATCTTTCTGTGACATTTTTATTGTAAAAAAAAAGGGGGGAAGGGTCTGATTTACCCGATAATTTCATTATTTAAGGTTTTCAGGATAGCTGAATCCAAATTTGATAACCAATATTATGATCCAATTTGTTTGAAGAATAACTAATTTAATAGCTTAATATAATGCCGCTCTGGTAGTCACGAAACGAGGAAGTGGCAATTTTTCACATCATGTTTTATTTTCTGTTTTTTAAATTTTTATATTCTTTAATTAATTTTTTTTAATAGCAAATTTGCATTTAATGACTAGAAACTTTCGAAAACCCATTTTTACAATAACCCAACTATTTTTAAATTTTTGATTTACCATATTGTATGTCTATCATTTTGAAGTTTAAAATGTTGATATCAAAATTCAACCACCCCAAAAACTTTAGGACGTCATTTTTATTAAAATTACAACAGTATAACCGCTTTTATTTAGATGTGCATATACACTTCATGCAGCAAAATGACACGATTTTGTTCTTCGTATAAATGTGTTACTGTTAGTAAAGGGGTTATAGCTTACATTTAGAAATTAACACAAAAATAAGATTTTCAGTGCTTTGCCGTGTTTATAAATAGCTGACAAGGAGCGATAGATGCGCTCCGCGATCGAAACGTCTGAAGTTTATCGTAGCTAATAGTAATGTGAACTTTCTAACATTACAGTACATATCATATCACAATGGTATATATCTAAGGAAATTGAAAAGTAGACAAACAGGCAACACTAAACAGCCAGTAAATTTAAAAAGTAAAAAAGACCGCCATGGTCTTTCTTCGATTCCCTCTTCTTCGTCGTCGAGGATCTTCCTCTTCCATCTGTCCACGTGTGCGTACGAGTATTCTCAATAGATGGTTGACTCGGCAGAAAATATAGTATAGGATCGTTGAAGTTCCTTTCCTACGAACCATATGAAGCATGGGAATTGCTCTCCAAAGCCCGCCAGCCGACATATATCTATAGAACATCTAGCTGCTGGGATAAAGAATCGAGTGCAAAAAAGTTTTCGCATTATACATATATCTCCTAAAGAGTCGGGAGACTATATTTGATCGTTTCGCCAGTACTGGCTAAGGATGAGTAACGCAGCTGAAATGAATGAAAATAAAAAGGAAAAAGATATATATAACCAAACCATAGATTTTTCCTAGCCTTAAGGTCGACTCTATGGAAAACTCTTGGGTCATGAATTATACACGGAGAGAAAAATTTCAGAAAAGTGACCGTGCTCTTTACTTCAAAGGAGATGCGAACGACGTTTATAGGAGAAATTTATCGATTAAAAAAGGGCAAATTTTAATTCTTCAAAGAAAAATTTCAATTTGTAACAGAATATTTAAAAGAAGGGTGTTAATTTTTATCATCTAGCAGAGTAAAAATTTTGATTTTTTGTCTAAAATTCAACATTTTAATCTTACGTAGAAGAAAATTTGATAGTCGTGTTGTAACTAAATCAGAAATTTACTAAGAAATTTTACTGTCCAGGTGTTCCGCTCCGTAGTTTCTTGTATCTAGGTATTGGATGTG